AGAGAGAGAGAGAGAGAGAGAGAGAGAGAGAGAGAGAGAGAGAAGAAACTTTAACGATATTTTATTCGTATAAAAATAATTATTTTTTTTTTTTTTTAATACACCTTTTTAACTTTAAACTTTTAAGATTTTTACTCTCGATTACAACTTTCTTTTGACACGATATAAATAAAGCTTGACCACCGTCGACCAAAGATAGACCCCAGATGCACATATATGTTCTAATCGATAGTTCATTTTAAATTAATTTTATACCGATTCCTTCGAAATTTTAAATTCTAACGTAACCATTATTTTTACATACTAATTTCATATACTAAATATCATTTTTTAAATACGTATTATTGATTTATTTTATTATGTAGCCAATTTTTATGACTGAACGCGAAGCAAAAGCGACGAGAGAGAAATCACTGGATTCACCGAATTAATCCATCTCGTGTATATCTCTGTTCATTTACGTATAATTGGCGGTATATGTCATTAATGATTGATTGGAATTCGATATCACGGAAATTATTCGTTATTCGCATGGGAATACGTCGAAACATTGATTCGCGACCAACCAACCAACTGTACGGATCACGGCTGATCGTACGCTTGCTTATACTACTAGCATACCAAATATTCCAGATGGTCGGCAACAGTTTTTCGTTAACTTGCGTGATCGTAATTGTCTTAATTCTGTGTTTCATTTTGTCACACGATAGAAATATTATATCTTAAAATTAAATCGCTATAACATTTATGAAAATAATATTAAACAATTGAACGTGAAAAACAATTAATACGTATCTCTATTGAGAATTTAATTCAATAATAAGAATATATAAAGTGTTGTATAAATTTATCATTTAATAAAGTTTATTAAAGGATTTTTTTTCTATGATAATTTATCTTCTTTTTATAAATGCAATAGTATGTACAATACGATAAACTCGACGATAATTATAGTCTTCTTTTTTTCAGCTCATGATTTTAAGTCACAAGAAATATTATTTGTATTCATTGAAAAAAGTACTCAAATATCAGTTACGTAACAAACGTTTCTTGCGTTGACACGTTTATGTGTACGCTTCACACAGTGACAAGGAGCTGTATCGATTGCTCGAATTCAACGAATCATGTAGCTATTTAGAATAATTTGCGTTCAATGAATGTATGAAATTAAGCTCGTAAAACATTCATTATGATTTGAAATTTATCAAATTGAAATTTTATCTAAATGATATCTGAGAAGATTGGATAAATTAAATATATCTAATAATAATTTAGATGAAATACGTAAGAAAAAAAATATCGAAAAGATATATGAAACAAATTCTAAAATTGAAAAAATTTCGATTCGATCGTTAAATTTTTAAATTACACGAAAATTTGAAGTTAGATACAATTTTTTCTAAAACTTATACGAGATACTTCGTTTCATATTATAAACATTCTAAAAAAAATTGCTTCGTTGACTTTATCCTATCTTCGCCTCGTTGCGTAAAAGATTGTTGATAAAGACTTACAAATTGAATAGCAACCCTTCAAGAACACACTTCCTATGTAACTATCTTTCTCCAATGAGCCAAATTGAAATTATTCATTTTTTCCATTAAATTTCAAATATTCACTTTACGATCCATTACATCTCGTTAATATTAACACCTTCTATAAAATAATTTAACAAAATGATCGAATCTTATAATTTTCAAGTTAAAAATATATTATTAGATACAAATATTTGATTATTAAAAAAAAAAAACGAGTGAAGTTTCGTTGAGCATGATCGATAGACTGCGTAACACTTTTTTCTTCAAGGTAAATACTCGATCGCAATGGGCGGTCACGATTACTCGATCGGATTATAATCTGATTTCTCCCGGATTATTGCTTACATCACTTCGTAATTGCTCGTTCGAATAGAGTTCGTTGCACGTTATCGACTATCGAAGGAACAATTAATATTTACGTGTCAACGGAGGCTAGCTGGCGAACCGCGAAGGGTATTGATTCGACGAAAGGGCCCCATGCGGGCCACATCGAAAATACCATCGGTACGAGTATGCGCGCTTATTCACTCGAGTCCTAACTGAAAAAAAAAAAAAAAAAAAAGATCAGATTCTCTTTCTGTTTTAATTTTCACTCGACGAAAAATTGATTCTCGCGATCCAATCCTCACTTTCGATCGATATTATTTCAAATTCTATTATTTATCGTTATCACTTTCTTCTTTTAAATTATTATATTATATTATTTTTTCTTCTTTCACATTTTCACTTTTCCCACAAATTTTAGATAGAATAAAACTCGAACGACTCAACGATCCCGCAGAATCACGCTAATGAAGCGCACACGTTCGATAGCGTGCAACGATTCGCATACGCCGGCCTCTTCTAATAATAGTCGGAGCGACCGAGCGAAGCAGCCATTTCGCGACCAACAATTTCAAGCTCGCGATTCTTGCATCGCCTATCGAACTACTTCAAACATTCGAGAATTTCTCGAAAGAATTACACGATTCATCGATCTCAATTTCCTCATCGTAGAATCGTATACATTTCGCGACATTTCGACACGCAACTCGTATGATGCAACTGCTGTTGTTCGGGGGTAAAGAGGTTAAGGCGAGATGAAATAGCCGGTCCACTGTTAAAACGAATTCTTATACGCTTACCTATTTCCCAACAGAATTTTGGAAAATTGAACACAAAGTAAAAAGATTAGTGATGATTCGATCTAGTCTTGTAAACACGAATCAAACTAGTGCAATATCGTCGCGCAACGATCGCCTTCGACCGCTCGCGTAATGGCCGCGGTAACCAACTAGTGGCGCACTTCTCGCCAAGTCCCCGGTCCTCGCCTACTGCTACTCTACCCAACCGACTATTTCTTTCTACCAATATCCTTGATTATAAAATCATGTACACGGAACGAATCAACTGGAAAAATATCGAATTGATTGATTATTGGTGAAATAACGCGAAATATATGCACAGGGCGGATTTGCACCGAATCAATATGTCGGCAAGCGGCCGGCTCTGATTAACTTCCGCGTTGCTCTCTTATAGGATATTCTATTTCAGGTTCAAGATGAATCTCTCGTGCATCGCGTTATCTCGTAAAATCGTTTCGACCAAAGTTGAATTGGTATGACTTTACTCACCGGTATCGACGGGATGGAGAGGCTGGAAAATCCGCGTGGTATCGCACGTATTTCCGTGGTCGCTTCTAGCCACTAGGACGGGACACGGTGACAGAGAGAGTTGCAGAAGGAGAGAAGAAGAAAGGGCGAGAGGAGAGCGAGAGGAGGAAGCTGGGGTGAAATCGTAGTGTCATCTGCTGGCGTAGCCTCTGGCCAAGGGTGAAAAGCGCATGTGCTATCGGGATAGACGATGGTGGTCCGCAAACCCGATTGGACGGGCCAGTCTCGACCGTCTATTTTTCCCCAAACCTACCGTAGCGTTGCACGGTCTTGACCGATGATGCATCCGTGAGAATGTAGATTTCTGAACAGTCGGATGAAACCTCGGTCGGTGTATTACAACCGAGCGGCCGAGCGTATGCTTGCGACCTCTCGCGACGGATGCAATCTTCTATTAGATTGACGAACGCGTATATTTGCTCGAACGATTGTTCAAGACGTTGACCCTCTTTCTACAACTTTTTCTCGATGGTGTCAGATATCGTTTTAATAAGCATGGTGAATCTTACTTCGAATTTTTATTTCGTTTATTATTCTCGTATATTTTAATATTTTCTTATTTTTATTTGTTTTTTTTCTTAATATAACATATTTGTTACTTTGCATTATTAATTTTTCATTTTTTACTTAATATATATATACATTTTTTCATTTTAACCTAATTTTCACCAAATATATCATTAATTTTTTATTTAACAATTTTCTGTAGATTTTGAAAAATGTTTTATCGATCATCCTTTAAATTAATTCCTGATCTAACGAATAATTATTCGAAGATTATATAATGATTTATATTGTGTATATTATGTCGAATAATAAATTATATTGTACAATTTGTGCGGTTTCAATCTTGTTGATGTTCATTTGATAACGCAAGATGTGAATTGGATCAAGTGAAATGAAGAAAGTATGATTTTTTATTCTTACTATTTAATAATTGATTATTATGATTATGATTCTTGTATTTATAAAAAATTAACTCAACAAATATTTATTATAATTATAAAGAAGAGAAAAGATTATTAAATGATTATAATATAATATCTAATATGAAAAGAATGACAAAGATATAATATTATATATTTCGATCACTTATAAAGTTCAATTTCAAAATTTCTATCTATTAAAAAACCGTATCCTTAGCAATTTTTGATATTCGTAGCTACGTGATTTCATTAGCTATTATTTGACACTTTTACTGATTTCAGATTTTAGTTTGATGTAATCCTAAAAATAATTTAAAAACTAAAAAATAACTATCTTCGGACTTAAAAATACTATATTATCATAATATTCTAAATAAGAAGAATAGAATATAGCTTAGAATATAGAATATAAAATTAGGAAATTTAGACGAGGAGGAACAGGTGTTTCTAAGTATTCACATTAAGAGATTTTCAAGAAAGAATCATAAGATTTGTAAAATCTTCTCGATCTGTGAATTCTTGGAATACCGATATTAATAATGAAGAAATAAGAAATAGAGAAATTGGACGGATTTAATTTTTAAGAATTATGATATATTTAATAAGTATCGATATTAATTTTAAAAATTGGAATTTTAATTTTATTATTTTCAAATGTTATTTTCTTTTGCAAATATTCAATTTTCAAAATATAAATACATGGAGTTAATTCTTAAATTTATCTATGAAAAATCATCTATCCTATCGCGATAAAAATATTTCGTACAATCAATTTTATCAACGAGTTTCTAACTTGCCTACGATGGATATAACTTGTTAAAAATCATTTGCATCATCAACACGGAATCGAATCGATCTTAAGAGTTGACGCAAGCGCCAAAGGGGGTGGCATACGCCGCGCCCCTGTTTCGAGACTGGTAAATTTCACCAAAACAAACCAGTGAGCATGGATGCTAGGAACGAGTAGCTGTTAGAGATTCATCGTTCTTCTCTTTCCCTTTACATCATTCATCGATAGCGATTTAGTCAACATGAGTCCTGGACTTGGACACGATCCTCTTCCCTCGTATAATATCACCGCATTAGGTAAAATTTAACGCTATATTTGTTTTCCTCATATGTAATTTCTGTAATCTGTGATTATTAAAGTGTACAAATTTTTTAAAATACAATTTTGTTTTTTTTTTTTGTACTATTTTCAGGTAACACGGCATTATGTTTATGGCAGCAACCGCAGCATATATTATTTCAATTGGCGAATTTTTGCTTTGTGTTGTCATATTCGGCGCCCTCCTCTAGAAAAGGGATATTATTCATGCATTCTGTTTTAATAATAGGTAAGTTGATTTACTATTCTTTCAGCGACTAGTGAAAGTTTTTACAGGTATTTAGAATTTTAATAACATTTCATTTTTCGAATTCATTTGTTTTAGGTTTTATGTTATTATCTGGTTGGGCATGGCACGTGATTTGCGCACCGGATATTTTCTCTTGGAATTTTAGTTTCTTGGTGCTAAACATCGGTCAATTGGTTTATATCGTTTATCAAATGAGACCGGTCCGTTTCGATCCTGAATTAGAGGAAGCGTATCATACGCTTTTCTATCCCTTTAAAGTGAGTACTTTAAAAAGTGAATATATTAAAAAACAATGATTACTCACGCGATTCAACTCCTTAATCTTTCGCGTGTCTGTAGATTATTATCGAACGTTTTTAACGTAAAATTATTGTTTTCCTGTTGTTAATTTAAATGTGACAAAAGTTTTTAAATATTATTCTCGTAACAAAATAATATTTATGATGTATATTTGTAATGGGAGAACATCGTAAACATTGACTGTATAAAATGAAATTTCAAAGGAAAGAAAGTTTATAAGGAATCATTGCATCATTCAATGATTATAAATAAAAGTTGGCTGACATTTCTTTTAAAAATAGGTATCTCGGCTGCAATTTAAAAGATTGGTATCTCCAGAATTTGCATCGATAATGTCTTTGCACGCTGGTGAAGCGTACGCAATGCAAAATTTAACGCGTACCGACAGATTGGGATTATTGTTGAGCGGCAAAGTGAATGTTCTTAGTGATTCGAATTTCTTACATCCTATTCTGCCTTGCGAATTTTTAGATTCACCCGAATTCGAAAGTTCTCGAGCATCTGTCGATGACAAATTTAAGGTAACTAAAAAATTGAAAAAAAGTAGGATATTATTTGAAATAATTGTAATTTAATTGTTTTTTAGGTGACGATTGTTGCCGCAAGCTCGTGTAGATATTTATATTGGCAAAGATCTGCATTAGAATATCTTTTAGTAAAAGAAGCATATCTTGCGACAGTTTTAACAACGCTGGTTGCCAGAGACATCGCAACAAAATTGTACGCTATGAACAATAAGGTAACAGTAGTTACTAATTATCGAAATTGTTAATATTTTTTTCATCTACAATCGAATCGAATCAAAGACTATTGCCTCGAGGACATTTCGTTCTCAGCCTAATTTTTGGTTAGATTGTTACAGATAAAGGATCACATTTGGATATAAGACTTCCAACGATCAGTGCAGGATTAACGATAAGCGGTGAATATAGAAGTCCAAGAGCATCCAGACAAGCATTGATTCGTAGAAAAGAATCATCTTCCGATAATGGTAATCCTTTTATATTGAAGAAAGAATTTTTAATTGAAGAAAGGAGAAATAATAATTTGTAAATATATTCCTTTTTATTAATAATCTATAATTATCTAAATAATTAATAATTTTCGCAGGTATTTCTAATTTAAAAGATCGTCCAGCAAATAATCTGTCGAAGAAAGGAGTACCAAACATGGAACCTCTTCCTGAAATGCCATCCTGTGACGATTTGGCATCAAGTGGTGTGGAAAGTTGGTTAGATTCATCGAGCAAGTATCACAGTTGCGAGATTGTGGACGAAGAATAGCAGGAAGCTTCCTTAACGCCGGACACATTTTACGAAGAAGACAGCGATTAGTGTCCGCGTTAAGGTATTGCATATTAAAATGAACACTTTATATTTTTAACAAAAATTATACAGAAACAATAATTCGATCTATATAAAAAAAAAAACTCTTTTTTAAATTTTTTAAATTATTCAAAAATTATTCAAAAGTGCTGTTTATTACGTCTTTGGATCTGTGAACGATACGAATGAACAAATTAATCAATTTGACAAACGAAACATTTTTCACTTATAAAATCTGGAAATCTTATCATAACATTTTCAAAGAAATGCCGTTTCATTTGCACAAATATAGCTTGAAACAAATAAATTATATTTTACTTCATATAACAATATATAATTATATTAAGTAGATAAAACTATTTAAAGTTGTAGTATGAAAGAAAAAAAAATCATAGATAGCCTAAGTGAATGAACACCAAGTGGAATAAAGATATAATCTCTAATTCGTAAAACGAACGGATCCTATAATGTTTACTCGAACAATAAAAGTGGGTCTACATTTACTGTATATCAAATCATGTGGATGGAAAGTGTTGCCTATTAAAATATAATATGTTAAGATACACCCACCTTAAGACGCATCGAAATCTCAGGTGTAGTGTTCAAAATGCATTTTTATGAAATTTATGAAATTTAATAAATTGACGTACGTGTTATAATTTCATTTATTTTTAAAATGAATTTTCAAGAAGCGTTTTCACGTAAATTTTTTAAATTTCAAATATATGTAAGTTACAATTTTGAGAAATAATATTAAGATACCGCGAATATGGATGTAACTATCGTGATATTAACAACCTTGTTAATCCATAATCCATTGTGGCTACACAATTAACATAACGATCAAACAACTACAGTTAATTGCGTTTAAGTGCTTATTATATAATAAGATATTTAAAGATAAATTATTATCATTTAATTACATCGCGCGATAAAGATTGAGAGTTTATAACTGTTCCTTAGATAAATGCACGAATTATTTTATAAACAAAATTTTCTACTAATTAGGAGCTTTCGTAGATCACTGTACAAATCGTTTGTTTTTGTCTATCATTAATGTATGTTGTATAATATGGTGAATATTTTTTATAGGAGATATTTGTTTGCGAAATTCATATACACATATAGTTAGAATTTTATAGCGATTTTAAAGTGTAATTGTACGTATTGCACATATATATATATATATATAAAACAAATGGAAAAATGTTGATACAAGTTGTTGCAATTAAGATTAAGCGATTATACATATATACAAGGATAAATGCACGAAGGGCTTTGTATTTTATAATGCACAAATTTATATAGAATGCATAAGTGCATATTGTATACAATCCTATATAAGAAAAATATTTTATTTATCTTTAATGTTTTCTTTTTAAATATTTTTTTTTATTGCATTTTATCTTTTGACAAAGAATTTGTTTTAGGATTTTGTTAAGATTTTTATGTTTTCTTTCAAATTCTACGAGATATAGATTACTATTGAAGGTACTATTTATTGTGAATTTTTTATTAAAAATGTTTACTCGATTTTATAATATCTGCGTGTTTGTAATTTATATGCTAAACTATATAAATAATTAATAAGAGCAGGGTCTGATGTATATATACATTGTTAATTTTGCACACAACGTAGCATCACACTGATGGCAATATGGAGGAACGATCGATATGATCGAGATAGTTTGTAGTATTTAAATACGTGTTTTGTACAAATTTTAATTACTATTTTCTTGTTGTCAATGAATACAATGAATGAGAACGAAAATTTGTAATGATTATTTATCGTCATTAATCATTCATCCGTCAATCTTTATTTCTAATTAAAAAATTGTACGTGATTAATCTGAAAAAAAAATAATTGCATCGAAATTAATTTTTTAACTAACACGATTAGTAAAAGTTATCTATTTCACTTTTATAATGTTTTTTTAATGTTTCTATAAGAAATAGAATTTCTAAATCATCGTCACGTTCATCAATTACTAAATAATATAACAATGAGAAATATTTATTATTTTATTGGATATATATAGCTATGTTATAAATATTCATTTTTTTTTATTTCCAAATGCAATTGTCAATAAATTGCAACATATATTTTCTTCGATCGAATCGAATAAAAACAAGTGAAAGTAACAAATTATTATCATTTGTTTACAAAAATTTATTCACTTGGAGAAGATTAAATAGATTGACAAAAATGATGATAGGTAATTAATATTTAGTTTCATTATCTTTTCTCTTTATTTTGTCCGATAATATACTATTATTTAATTTAAGTTTTTAATTTAATTATTTTTTTAGTTTAACTATTGTCAAAATATCTTGAAATAGCAGGAATAGTTGAATAGGACCTCGAGCGGAAGAAGATTTATCTTGATGACGAAATATATTGGTTGAGCCATCCGTAAATGTACTAGCAATGGAATTTATTGAAATAGCTCAATTATAGCATCTTCGATTTTACGAATATCGGAGAAGAAAATTTACGATTCATTGCACATTTTATTATCCATCTGTTGAAACATGATTTATCAGATATGCAATTTATCTTTCTATTTCTCGAAGAAGAATATATTTCTTCTATAATCCTACCAATTTAAAATTATGAATAATGAATTATAACAATATTTGAGATAAATATATTAATTGTGATATATAAATAATAATCGATATATCGTGTTGATTATAATTTTTTATTAAAATAAAGATACATTTTATTTGGTACGTTTTCGGGTGGAATGGTTATCTAACTAAAAAAAGGAATAGAATTTTAAAAGGATTTTTATAACAGATCGATTTTATGAAATAAAACAATAAAACTGACAGCAATAATAATTTATTGCTTACAGAATTGATAGTTAAAACTTTGCGTGACAATATTCAATAGATCTTAACCATCAGACCGTAACATTTAGAATGTAAAAAACTTCATTATGCATTGAATCTAACAATAGCATTACGAAGTAATCTTTATTTGTCAAATTGAGCAAATGCCATACTTGATATATTTATTTGTATTTTATATAATGAAGAATTCAATAGAAAATTTTTATAAAATTTTACATCTATTTTCTATATTACAAATTTAAATAAATTTATAAATTTTTTTTACATATCTACATGAATTTTTAAAATCACTGCAATTGTAAATATATATACATACAATGAAAATATCGATTATGTTATTTAAAAGTGAAACATAATTTTTATAGAATTTCCAACGTTTCCAAATATTTGCCTCTGTTTTCCGATTCGCCTCATTTCCGATTCGTTGCAAAGTGTAACGATTATGGAAACGCTTCTACAAATGTGTTCTCTATTGTAATATCGAGCAATCGAAACTTGATCGTTCGTGGTACAAAACGCCGATTTACGTTTTTGCTTATGCAATCGAAAGAACAGACAAAAACGCATAGCATTCCTGCTATCTTGACAATATCGATAAACGATTGATTTCTATTCGGTTTTCTATGCAAAATCCTTGTACATTATTTCTATCTCAAAAATAGTTCTAATTTCTATTACTGTTTCTATTATTCTATATATCTATTGATATATATATATTATATCAAGAATTATTAAAATATTTTGAAATTTTTGACGAGCACGATGACGATATATCAGAAAGGATGGCATAACAAGAGATATAAAAAATGATGGAAATAATAAGAGATATGGAAGAGAAACTATGGAATCGAAACATGAATTAGTATAAGAGATAGAACGATATTGGAAGCGCACAAGTAAACAATAGGAAAGAAATAGACATGAAATATGCGTGGAGATAATAGAGAAAGCGTGCAACGAAACGATAAATTCATCTCTAACATAATGTCAAATTTTTTGTTCTTTGAACAAAGAGATTGATTAAAAATAATTGAAATATTGAATCGTAAAATTGCCTAAACAAGCAAAAAGTTTGAAATTTTATTTACAATTAGATTTAAATTATCATCGACAAAATTTTAATTCGAATCGATAAATTATAAAAAAAGATTTATTATTATTAGTATTAAGAAAATGCGATAATATAATGATATATAATATGATAAAAAATTAAAAGAAGGAAAAAGCACTAAGAAGAATGAAGAAGAAGGCAATGTTGAAAAATAAGTGCGAAGAAAATAAGTTGAAAGATCGAAAGGATAAGAAAGATAAGATCGAATGTATAAGAATGTACGTAAGTAAATATATATAAAGAAAGAAATACAAGAAGAAGGAACAAGGGATAAGAAACATAGCATGGAAAAGAGTAAGAATAAATCAGTTAGAAGCTCTATCAAGAACAATAAGAAGAATATAAGGAGGGATCGTTGTGAAATAGAAACGGTTGGTTGAGAAATGTGGGGTAAAAAACGAAATTTGTAGAAAGTTGGCGAGATGATGACGGTGGGTGCTGCCACCTGCGTGGAGGGCGTGGCGCTAGTTCTATCGGAGTTTAGTTTAACGAGAGCTTTGGCACGCGTCGCACAACTCTGGAGCAGCACTCGTGTCGCTTCGGCCAGCCGCGTGAGAGTGAGAGAGAGAGGGTGGGAGGAGCGCGAGAGGTGAACGATGGTGAAGGAAGAGAGAGGTGGGAAACGGTGAACGCGAGCAAGATAGAGAGAAAGGATAACGACGAGAAATCCAAGGGGAATACGAGACGGAAAAGGACAGATTTATAGAGTGGATTGAGTATATATGGTAACAAGCAGTGTATGAGTGTAGAGGAGAAGAGCGGATTGACGACGACGATGAGGAAAGAAAAGTAATGAACGCGAAGATGAATGAAGAACCATTCGGATGCAGTTGATGTTGCGGCGATGAAGAAGGTTCCCGAGTGGAGGACGCGGTACGCGTTGGCGCCGCCAGAACGAAGGATAGTAGATTTGAAATCACGGTGCTGATCGTACAGACGAGGAAAGCACAGAAGCGGCAGTGACCATGGCGCCCCTGCTCGCATGTAAACAGTGCTTCATGCTCGATGCACGTTTCGAGAGTAATGTAACTAGTGCCAGCATTCTTATGGAGAGTAAACATAGTTACAGTGGTTGTCACCGTCATCGTTATCGTTACTTCTCACGTTCCAGTCGATTTCCCCGAATCCGATGAACAACCGTCGAAATCGCAATCGAGAAGTTGCCGAAAATATCGCAGACGTCCTGAGGCAAGACGGTATGGACGGTAGAGACGAGTCATGATCCTCGTCCTGCCGCGTCACCGTTATCCTCATCCTCGTCCTCGCCGTCGTCGTGGTGGTTGTCGTCGCCGCCGCCGCCGCGCGAAACCGTGTTCCGGTCGTTTGTGTTTGTTGATTCGTCGTCGATGCGTCGAACGTGTGTGCGCGTGCAAGACGCTGAACCGAACTTACGAACGACGGTCAAACGTGATTGATGCGTGACGCATTCAACTGCTACCTAACAAGTGGTAACGAGTCCGAGAAACAAGTACATTTTTTTGCTCGATACTTTTTTCTTTTCCTTTCTGTGTATCTTTTACGAGATTTTCATTCGTGTTTGCTTATTTTCTTCGTATTCAGTGATAATCGAATAGTGATCGGAGTACAAAAAAAAGGCATATATAACCTAAACGAACATGTACCGTGAGAATAGCGCAAGAATAGCGGTGTTATAATCTCATCAAATTTCACACGTGTGCAAATTCATCTTCAACCTTGAACCGTTATTCGTGCAAAGAAATTGTCTTAACCTTTTTCTTTTTTGAAAGAATTGGAATTGATCCGACACGCAAGAGCAAAGTAGTCTGTTGCATCAATCGTAAGTGATTCTTATATTTTTTATCGACATTTTATCGTACTTTCCTCGAATCTCATATTAAGAAGGTTATTTGCCGTTAATAATCCTGTGTCGCATTGATTTTTGAGAGAGATGTTTCTATAGACGATCTTGAATTCATTCATGTAAGACATTTTTGTGTCGAGAGAGATAAAATGAAATATCGTTACTAATGCTGAAATATTTTAACGATTTTATCAGTGAATTGAGGTTATTTTGGTCAAACCAATTAACTTATTTCCTAACATATAACTCTTAAAATTCAACGACATAATTTCGCTCTAATTTTATAAATATTTTTTGATATACATTTTTTTTGTTTTTTATTTAACAATAAGATTTTTCGATGAACTTTAATCGAAAAGTATAAATGAATAAAAATATAGTATTTTTAATCATTTCATTTAAAAGAAATGTAAAACAAATTTTACTCGTTTAACATTTTTTTCTCGTATATCGCAACTTTTTTGTGCTAATTTCAGAAATCTCTCTTGAAATTGCTGATTATTTTCAAATGAGTTCACAGCGTATCGAGAATTGCGAGATTCGATACTCGAATCGAATAGACAGGTGGCTCTGTGCAAATCCTTCGTTGACTTTCTTCAGTGTGATTTCAATCTTCTTATTTTATTCGATGTTTTATAAGTCTGTGATTAGACGACGAAATTTGATGTGTCACTTTTTCGTTAAAATTGATATATGGTATATTGGTATTGATATATGATGTGTTTTTTTCATGTGCATTTATATAAAATTTATTATATTAGTTTGCAAAAAATTGACATTTATTTATGAATGGTTTGAAAAAAAATTAGGGAAAATATATAAATCTTTTTAAGAATATCGTGATGATATTACATAGTTGAACATAAACTTTAGAATCATTGTATTGCAAAATTAAAAAATTATGATAAATCAATTTTGCCATGGCAATTTTTTTTTACATGATTCACATTTTTTTTTATATGATTCAAAATGATTCAAATGATTGATTTTGTCGTTTTTGATAGAATGGATTTTAATCTAAATTTTATAAGTTGCACGATTCGAAACAAATTCGAATTTTTCATTTCGCGATAATTTTATATTCTTGTATGTATTTCATAATAAATCGTGGTTTTTTATTCATTAATATCGATAAGTTATTCAAGTTACAAGCTTCAGATTAAAAATGAATTTTTCCTTCGATAAGCAAATCAATTTTTTTATTTTTTTTCTCCAATTGAAAATTCACGAGAATTATAAAAGTTAATTGCAACACATAATTTGGTATATTTAATGGTATTAATATATAAATCTTCTCTCCGATCAAGTTAAAATACTTAAATTGATTACACGAAACAAAATGTGAGACATTTGAAAATCGCTTATTGAAATTTCGTTTTTAAAATTTATGATAAAAGAATATATAGGATCGTGGCATATTTACGAAGATTTATTTTCGCTGAATTAGACGGTTAGACTTCCGATTGGGAGGCATAAATCCTAAAAGCTGACCGATCGATCGCGCCTGATAAAAGTCCCAGTCGCAAGACTTGGCGAGCTTCGGTGGTCCGAGTTGAGAGTTTCAGTTAAAATTATTAGCTTTCGACTTTCTCTACCGTGTCGATCTTCGGAAACTTTCCGGATGCTAGTTGCTTTCGACTCTATCCGTCGACTTCTTTTTCGTTGTAAAGAGAATCGATACGCTCGACGTCTCGACGCATCTTTCCAACTGTTCAGAGACTAGAGATATTCTATGAAACTTGGAGAAAATTGTTGAAACTTTGTAAATGGATGTTTTGTCCTTAGATGAGAGAGATTAGGACGTGTCTGCCTGAAAAGTTTGATATTTCAGGATTATAGTTGATAGATACCGAGGATCTCTTTCGGAAAATTGTTAAAATTGAGTTAAGAGTTTCAATAAATTGTGTAATACGTATCGGTTTTGTTTACCGAAAGTTCTTACGAATTGAAAATTTTTTAAATCAATTTTTTCTCAATCGAAACGTATTTTACTTTACCTTTCTTTTCTTTTTATTTTGTCGAGAAATATGTCGATTAAATTGTTCAATCTCTGTCAAATATCAGTAAATGTAATCATTGATATAAATCTATAATGTAAAAAAGTTGAGCAAATACAGATAGATAAAATGTCGATAAAATATATTATTAATATTTACCAATTATAATTAAGATATCTCGTATCATTTCAAAGACAAATTGTACGTATAATATATAAATTTATACGATTAAAATCAAATATGAAGATTTGAATAAACGAATGTTGAATTAAGAGAACGTGTAAAATCACATTTTTTTTTTTTAAATCGATGAACAATTTAACCGATTCTCTGATTGTTCTGTGTGATGTTTCAGACGAATCTGGGGCCCGTTCGTGTCGCGAAACGAGCCGCGAAATTCAGTGACTCGCACGCTTACGATAGAAAGAACGTGGTTCGTGCGAGTGTTAACACGCGAACGATCGATAAGGAGAATCGATCGCGCATCGTGACTCGATCCGATCGTTCGGTAGTGAGGCAAGTCGATTGCAATGGTGTTGCACGAAGTGATGATCTTCTGCGTGATCGAATTCGGAAGAAGCTCAACACCTCTGTGTTGCCCCCTGCTATTCACTCATACGTACAGAAGACTGAGGTGTATTATTCCACACTCCAAACAACATATCGCTTATCCACCATAAGGTGAGTCATTTGTATTCATATACTTATTACACATATTTTTACGATATAATGAAAATTATCTCGACAATCGGTACGCTAATTTTCTTTCACAATTGAAATGCGAATATTAAAATTTAATTGTAATAATCGAATTATTGTTATTATTAAATTATTATTATTTCGAGATTGTATATCATTCTGTCGTCTAATTTCTGTCAATAAATTCGATTTTGGTTTCAACAAATCAAAAGCTTCATCGTCATCGTGATTGAATTTCCATGGGTTATTTTGTAAATTATATTACATATATTTTCCATAGCGAAATCTTAGCGAAAGCAACGCTCATCGTATCAGTCGTAATAAAATTTCACGATTTATTCGAGGACACGAGACGCGCAGTCGCGTTATTTTCGCCAAAGGACGAATTCCTGTTTTCTTTGTCTCTTTGATTCGTATCGTTAACTCGTAGAAATGCGTTGCGCGGTTACTTCCATCGATTTTTAAAACAAAGCGTATCTCATGGAGCTCTAGAAAAGTCGAGGTCACGGGTTAGCCATTAAAAAATTAATTGCAGCATGCAATCTTAGCGTATTACCATTTACCTGTTGCGTGTTCGTGTCGACGTGTAAAAAGACGCGATGCGAATTGACTCGCGTTATCAAGTGGAAACAAAATTATATACTATCGATTGAAGAAAAATTTTTCGGATGTATGATTCGTTTCTCGATTAAACACACATTTAAGAAAGAATTGAAATTCAACTCGGCATTATTTTTTTATTTTAGTATTGGTTTTAGTATTGATATTTTATGGTAATAGTTTTGGACAATTGCACCGATAAAAAGATGCAACAGACAATAATAATCAAGAAAGAATTATAATCGACGAGTGATCAAAGTTCGAATTAACGCATCATTAAATCCTTAGTATAATAATATGGTTCGAGATATAGCAAAGTATATATTCGCATTTGTAATATTCCGCTTTTTGTCAGTACACGATTTTCTTTTCTCGAACAAGGGGAGGATTCCCGTGGATCGAATCCAGTATCGTGTCCCACGGACAACGAAGCTCGGAGGTAGACGTGTCTAAAAGAAGTTCCGTGGGTCGACCAATCGAACGATATTTGTTAATCGTTGCAACGCCATTATGGGACAAACAACGCAGTTTACTCGGTTAACATCGTTTGCGCGGAAGTAATGTTTGCTTTCGTCAGCGACCCTTGCTTTAAACGAGATTATAGGCCGCAAAGGCGAGCTTTTATTTTTACCCTTATTCGTTCCGCAGATCGTGATCCGGCTAATAAACGTTTTCCGGATGCTATTCCAACCCTTTCTCGCGTGTACACTAAAAACCTGTGACATTTTTCCCCTAGGCGCGAAGCCTCCTATTTGTGTACACACGTGTCCGTGTCATAAGTTTACCTTGTCTTTTCGTTGCATGAATTTTACAAGAGTTTTCCTATTTTTATCCTTCGAAGAGAATTCAAAATGGATATTTTTCCAAAAAAACGAACGAACGATACTTTATACAATAAATATAGAATGTTTCTTATTTTGTAATAACACAAATGTCGATTCTTCTTTCCAAAAGATCGCTAACGCGATCTTTGCAACTTATCTTCAAAGTCATCAGATTTCATTATCCGTATACGTTATGAATCTTTGTAGAAATTCTGTTTTCTCGAATAAAGTCGTTTTGTTCAAACGACTAGGACTTTTGAAGGAACGACACAATTCGCGATCGAGTTTTTACAGAAACAGAGATATGAAATAAAGTCAATTTAATCTAAAGTCGACTTGTTCAAAGTCGAATATAATACATATGTGAATTCATTTATTTTCATATACAGATACAAAATTATTTATACATTTTGTTTTATTCGTCTTATCATTTTTCTCTACTAAGCTCTAATATTTTTAATTATTAGGAGAGAAGAATAAATTTTAAAAAGTATTTAAACAAAGATTGATTAAAAAATCGTAAAAATATAAATATAGAAAATTTTAACTTTGAGATGATAGATGTCTTATGACGTATGGATAAAAATTTAAGAAAAACTCAAAGCCAACTTTTCTCTCTTCGTTTGATTAAATTTTCAATCCGTTGAAACTTTTTCATACGTTGAAATAATTTATATATTTTATAGTTTATATATTTAATGATTTGATTATTTTTGAATCTTTAACTTTTCGTTGAATAAATACGAAATGAATATAATAAATATAAAACATCGAGTTTGAAATTGCAAACTCAATATTTTTATACGCGTTGTTTCATCACATATTTGCAAAATTTTGAAATTATGTTGTTTTTTTTATATTTACACTTCTTTCCACAACACCATAACCGTTTTTTCCCTCTTTTCTATTCTAGTTGCGAGGTTTCGCGATAATATTTCCAGTTATATAATGATATTGATGATCTAAGGCCGTTAACGATGTCTCACATACATACAGGCGACATATTGCACAACGGAATTACCACCGAATAATTATTGCACGTGACATTTGCATATACGCGCCACTCGGATCGCAGTTATTTTCGTTATTGTTCACAGAATGTAATGTTGTTTCTAAACAATTGGTTTCCATTAGAATTGCACGTCTCCACCGGCTTATATATCGTGCTCGACGAAGCACAGCGTGATTAGCACTTTCTATCGAGCGTTTTAATCCTCATCAATGTTCATTGTATTCTATCAACCGTGTGTAATTATTCTTTTTCGACGCGTCATTTTTATCCGTGTATTCGATGTTTTTTGAAAGTCTTTCGAAAAGAATCGATTCGAACAATGATAAGAAGTATCGTTTTAACGAGATAGATGAAAATTGATATCGTTTCGAACGGAATGAACATTTTATTGGATTTCCCGTTTCACGATTATTTTTCATGAAATACTTTTATGAAATATCTCCTTTCTCCCCGAAAATTGTTACCCTTCTTTCAAATGTAAATATTCGAATAAACAATGATTCATTTATTCGTTTCAATTTGTTCGGTTTTAATTGTTACGGATGTCGAGAAAAAGGAGTCGCCGAAGGGGAATTGTATTTTTCTACCGAAACACTAGTTTCGTTTAATTACTTTTACTTTTCTTCCTCAAAGAGTTGGCAAAATGTCAAAAATTTTTTGCCCTTTTAGTCCATGCATCGTTCCACCATTTAGTTATATTTTTGTTGCAATTTTTTTCTTGCATGGGTTAAACATATTGTACGCGTAGTTGAAATATTTATCGCGTACTCGAAATTTTTATCTGAACAGAGAAAAATATAAGATTTTTCTTCTTCTTTTTTTTTATTCGAAATTTTTTTCAAGACAATATAATTTAACGATAACGCCTTTACAAAATTTCCTATATTTTAATTCATCTCACGACATTGTCGACATCGTATACGTATTGTTAAAATATTCATCTACTCGAACGTAAAATGTAAATACCCGATGAAGAGATTAGGTTGGTGCGATTTTTGATGAAAATCGGATCGTGAATTAACGAACAATCGTGTTCGCGACATTGATCGTTCGAGTTTAAATAATTGCGAGACATTAGAATGAGATTATGTAGAAAATACATCATTATCGAGAATACGCGTCGATGAAATCTAATTAAATGGAACGAAATAGTATGAAACGGAGAAAGGGACCATTTTCCGTGAATCAATTCGAATTTAGCGCGCGAATTTTCAGAAATTTAAAACGCTCTGATGATTTTCTTCGTTTTTGTAAATCGATACGAGTTCATTCAATATCTCGATAATTATACGAATTGCAATTATTCGATACATTTTTTGTCTTATTTATTTGTTCTTTTGAAATAATTCAAAAAATCCTAATATTTCCCTGTTTAATTTCTTTTTTTTACGATATAAAATAGGTCGAGGTTTTTATTTTACTTTACCAACGATACTCATTTTCTTCGTTTTTGTAAATCGATACGAGTTCATTCAATATCTCGATAATTATACGAATCGCGATTATTCGATACATTTTTTGTCTTATTTATTTGTTGTTTTGAAATAATTCAAAAATCCTAATATTTCCCTGTTTAATTTCTTTTTTTTACGATATAAAATAGGTCGAGGTTTTTATTTTACTTTACCAACGATACTCATCAATGTTGTAACGATCTATCCAATTTTCATATATTCGAATATATCTTGCTTAACTTCGAAGCTTCATTCAAATGAAATTTTTTTCTCTACCGTGGGCAAAGTTTGTCGCGTTAAAGAGGGTGCGTTTGCACGATATTTTCCCTATGTCTTAGAAGATGTTATCACAATGCACGACAGAAGCCTTTGTTTCACTTTTCACCCCTTCCATCTTGGTTGCTACTTGGACGGTTTTGGAATTTTTATAGCTTAAAGGAGAACATTCCGACGCTATGCATGTTTCCCGTCTTATCTTTCAGAATTTTTTAATAAAACTTGACGTACAATAAATAGAATAAAGTAATCTGTTCCTTTCTTCAATGCGATAAAAACATCTAATTAATTACAGTTTACTTTTACTTTTCACATTCGTATAAACATTCGTTTCTCGTATAAAATCTTTCTACGATTTTTGATCGTGTGTATGATCTTGACTCGAGTCGGAGAAAATCGTTTAATTATTAAACGATTAAATCGTCGTGGTTTGTTGACCGATTCTATACCCGTTTTGGACGGAAGAATATAAATTCTCGCGATGAATCGGCATCGACATTCAAATATTTGTTTATAAGAAAAGAGATGGAATTTTAATCGTGAGCTAGTTTATTTCTGCATATTTATGCGATTGATTCGAGGGGGAAAAACATTGAATAGCGGAATTTTCACTTTCATTTTTCCAGGACACGCATGCTTGCATTCTGGATGTTGGAATTGCAATTTTTACGGTTTTTCTTTTTCTTATTGTTTTTCGTTTCCTTTCTTCGACATCATTGTTCAAGCAAAACTTTTTGCTGATGCGAACATATGTCCTTACATAATTCCGTTTCTGACAAAATTATATTATATTTAAAAGTTACATTATTATAAAAA